TCGCCTGTCCGCCCTGCTCGCACTGGTCGTGTGTTGCGTCCGCGTCCTCCTCCTGTCCCTGGCACTCACTCTATGACACTGCGTCCTTCCACTGCTCCACAGCGTGTCCCTCTGCCCTCTCCTCCTGCGTCCTCTCTTCCTGTCGGTCCGGACCCGGAGTCTGACTCCCTTCGTGCTGCTAGTCATACTATCATGCGCTTCCTGGCCACTGCTGTCACTGACCCTCTGTTTGAGTCCTCTGCTGCGTCTGCTCTAGTTGCTGAGCTTGTTGACTTTGCTGCAGCCTGTCGCCTAGACTTCGCCACTAGTCTTGTTGCTGAGTCTGCGTCTGCGTCTGTCTGTCCTCCGTCCGTCGGGGGTGAGTGTGCTCTTGGCACGGACGTTCTTGAGGATAGACGGGAGGATTTTGAGTGCTTTGCCGCTGCTGTACCTCATCTCGTGTCCATGCTGCTTGCCCCTGAGGGAGACCCGGATGCACCAGACATCCCGACCCCGCGCTCTTACGCAGAGGCGATAGAGGGTCCCTACTCCTCTCAGTGGCAGGCAGCCATGGACGCCGAGATGGCTTCCTGGAAGTCCACAGGCACCTACACAGACGAGGTTCCCCCACCTGGGGCGAACATCGTCAGTGGCATGTGGATCTTCAGGGTGAAGCGGCCGCCGGGTTCTCCGCCTGTCTTCAAGGCGCGTTACGTTGCACGTGGCTTCAGTCAGCGACAGGGAGTTGACTTCTTTCAGACCTTCTCCCCTACCCCGAAGATGACCACTCTTCGGGTATTGCTGCACGTTGCTGCTCAGCGTGACTACGAGCTCCACTCGCTTGACTTCAGCACAGCTTTCCTACAGGGCAGCCTACACGAGGAGATCTGGCTGCGCTGCCCACCTGGCTTCACTGGGTCGTTTCCTGCTGGTACCCAGTGGAGCCTCCGGCGGCCAGTCTACGGTCTCCGCCAGGCACCCCGTGAGTGGCACGACTCTTGCTACTCTTGGTTTTGCTCCTTCCACTGCTGACCCTTCACTGTTTTTACGCACTGACACCACTCTTCCGCCGTTCTACGTTCTCGTGTACGTAGACGACCCCGTCTTTGCTACTTGCTGACACTGAGGCACTCGCCCACGTGAAGTCCGAGCTGCAGAAGAGACACACGTGCACAGACCTAGGTGAACTGACAAGCTATCTTGGCTTGCGGATCACCCGGGACAGAGCACAGCGCACCATTACCTTGACTCAGTCACACATGGTGCAGCAGGTCCTTCAGCGCTTCGGCTTCACGTACTCCTCGCCACAGTCCACTCCTCTGCCTACTGGTCACTCGCTCTCAGCTCCACCTTCGGACGAGTCCGTAGAGCCGAGTGGCCCGTATCCAGAGCTTGTGAGCTGCCTCATGTACCTGATGACTTGCACACGACCTGACCTTGCATACCCTCTCAGCCTTCTGGCTCGCTACGTGGCTCCCGGTCGACACCGAAAGGTGCACTGGGATGCTGCGAAGAGGGTGTTGCGCTACTTGTGCAGTACGTCGGGGATGGGGCTCGTGCTTGGAGGACGGGCTCGAGTTGTCCTCACTGGTCACGCAGACGCTTCCTGGGTTGACGACTTGGCTGCGCAGCGGTCGTCACAGGGTTACACCTTCAGTCTTGGTTCCGGTTCTGTCTCTTGGCGGTCTACCCGCTCTTCTTCTGTTCTCAGCTCCAGTTGTGAGGCTGAGATCTACACTGGGGCCATGGCTGCACAGGAATTACGCTGGCTCACCTACCTGCTGACCGACTTGGGAGAGGCGCCTCGTTCTCCTCCAGTTCTGTACGTCGACAAGAAGGCCATGCTGGCCTTGTGTCAGGAGCACAGACTGGAGCACAGAACGAAGCACATTGCTCTGCGCTACTTCCTTGCTCGAGAGTTGCAGCAGCGTGGCCAGCTTCGTCTTGCTTACGTGGCCTCACAGGCCAACACTGCTGATGTTTTCACCAAGGCACTTCAGCCTTGTGATCATCAGCGTTTCTGTACTGTTCTAGGCCTTGTACCTACTGTGCCTCACTTGCTTACTTCTTGACTCTGCTTGTACTGTACTCTTTATACATATACCTGCATGCTTACACTTGCTAGGTTGTGTTCACTGTATTGTTTGTTTTCCTTTATATAACTGTGCATGTGAACTGGCCTTGTGGCCATTTGCTTGTGCTCAGACTGCGTGGTGACTTTGTGATCCACCCTGAGCTTGCTTTGCCTTTCTTGACTGGTCTTGTGACCTCTTGTTCTCCCCCACTTTGCCTATGGGGGTGTGTCAAACTTATATGCTATAGTCTGTTTAGGCTATAGTGGGGTAGTTCTTATAGGGTACAACACTTTTATGTTTTCTACTTGTACCCACCTGCTTTCTAGTTCATTCATTCGCTCACATTCTAACATTCCCTTGACCACTCGTCGGCCATGACGCCCTTGCAGGGGTTTTTTGTGTGTGTGTGTGTGTGTGTTTTTTTTTTTTTTTTTTTTTGAGGTTGCCTTACAACGAGATCGGCGCATGTGCGTCACTTGGTCCCACAACATTGTTCATCACGATGTCTTCGTGGCCTCTCTCTCTCTCTCTCTCTCTCTCTCTCTCTCTCTCTCTCTCTCTCTCTCTCTCTCCTCTCTCTCTCTCTCTCTCTCTCTCCCTCTCTCTCTCTCACTCTCACTCTCACTCGCTCTCTCTCTCTCTCTCTCTCTCTCTCTCTCTCTCTCTCTCTCTCTCTCTCTCTCTCCTCCTTCTTTCTCTCTCTCTCTTTCTCTCTCTCTATCTCCCTCGCTCTTTGTCTCTCTCTCTCTCCCTTGCTTGCTCGTTCCCTCCCTCTCTCTCTCCCTCTCTCTCTCTCTCTCTCTCTCTCTCTCTCTCTCTCTCTCTCTCTCCCCCTTTCTTCCTCTCTGTCTCCCTCTCTCTCTCTCTCTCTCTCTCTCTCTCTCCTCTCTCTCCTCTCTCTCTCTCTCTCTCTCTCTCTCTCTCTCCCTCTCTCTTTCTCCCTCTTTCTCTCTCTTCCTCTCTCTCTTTCTCTCCTCTCCCTCATTCCGTGTGTGTGTGTGTGTGTTTTTTTTTCTTTTTTTTTCTTCTTCTTCTTCTCTCGGTCCTTGCCTCGTAATTCACCCTTGGCCAATTCTTCCTCCATGGCTGCCTTCCTCCAAAGGGGGCTGGCTTTTGACTTGCCGTTCCATCCGTCCTCCCTCCTCTTGTTGTCTCTCTTTCTCTCTCCCACCCCCCCCCCCCCCTTTTTTTTTTTTTTTGATAACAATATTCTTTTATGAATCCACACAACGGCATACAAGCCTAGGCCTACACCATAACCAGCCCCTACGGCTGCCATTTTGTCCTGGCCCTCATGGCCTATGCAACTCTCCAAGGCTCCTAACCAGCCTACGCACCACTGGTGCATCCACCTACGCCCCCCGGCGCAGTGGCAAGGGGCGCCGCCCCATGGGTCCTCTCACACCACGGGTGCGGGACCTTGTGCTCCACGTCCTCCCATAGGGCAATTGTTCGTCATATGGCCGGGCTGGTCGCAACGAAAACACACTCCCTTGAAGCGGGGCTCGTGGCAGCCCGCGGGCGGCATGCCTTTGCTTTTCGTTTCGCCGTCTCGAGGGGGGAAGGCGGCCTCCGCGGGCGAAACCGGTGCGTGCACGCTTGAGGGCCGCCACGTCGGCTACCGCGAGCTTATAAGAGCGGGACGTGAGCACGCTCTTGGCTTGGTACAGCTGGAACCGATCCGCCGCCTCGAAGCCGGCCTCATCCGCCACCAAGAGCACCTCGAAACATTTGTTGATCAACGTTTCGACTTGCGCCACGTTGGAGAGCGCGCCCTCGACGTCGCCGTGTTGGAGCTTGAACTCGACGTGCCTCAGGTGAGCTTGAATTGCAGAGAACACCTCCGCCTGGTCACGCACTCCCTTGCGCATGAAGGTAGTAGCTGCGGGTGTAGGGTTGAGGGAGGGGAGGGGGGGTGCGGGTGCGAGAATGCGACGGCGAGCAAGGTTGTCGGGGGCCTCACCGTCTTCATTTTCCGAGTCGTCGCTGTCGTCGGGGATACGGGCTTGGGTTGGTGCCGGAGCCGGGGGGGGGGAGCAGGAGCAGCGTTGTTGGTGCGAGCGACCTTGGTGGAGCGGGGGGGCGCGACAGGTTCCTTCTGCTTTTCAATTTTAGCGGAAGCAGAAATTTCTTCAGTCGATGTAGCTGTAGTCGATGGCGCGTGCTGCTGCAATAACGAGAGCAGCGCCTGCAGCTGCTGCGTAGTCAAAGGGGGGGGGGGGGGGGGGGGGGGGGGCGCGTTGACCGGCGTGATGTCAGCGGAGGGTGCCGCGCGCTGGCGTTTTCTGGGTCGTGGGCCCGGGTGGACCTGCGTCAGCGGCGGTCAAGACGGCTGCCGCGTCAGTGGCGGTCAAGACGGCTGCCACGTCAGCGGCGGTCGTCTTCTTCTGCGTGGCACGCGCATGCCTGCCAGTCACGCGTTTTCTTAGGAGGGGTCCGAAGGGTGCCTCCGAGCAGGAGGTCGACCGCTGAAGGTCCCTCGCTTGAAATTTCTTCGGCGGGGCGTTTTCCCGCGACGATCCGTTGTCCCGGCCGGAGTCGAGGTTTCCGCCGCGTTACCGGGGCTTGAAATATTCGAGTTGTCGCGGTTAAGTGCCAGGTTGACTGGAGCCATCGTTGCGAGGTTGCGCTTAAGGATGTCGTTAAGGAGCGTTGACGGGGCCGTGAAGCGCAGAAGCGACTGAGTCTTCGCCAGTGTGGACGAGAACGAAATTATAACTACAATTTCGGAAATGAAAACGCGGGTGGGGACGAATGTCCCCACGTCCCTCTTTTGTAGGCAAAAGAGGGTGAGTAGTGTTTCGGCGCTACCTTTGCTGTGTTGGCCACGTACCCCTTTTCACAATACAAAAATTTAGAAAGTGTTACATTTCATTACACTTTCAAAAATTATCATAATACAGAAGTTAACTCTACATTTTCCAGCTATGGGACCACCTAGGATAACTAGTTGTTGGCACCTTCCTTCTCTGCCCTCTCATCTCCCCTCTTCGTCACCCCGACGCCTCCCTCCGCCCCTCTCTCCCCTCCATCACCCTTCACCTCCCTCACACCCCCCTCCTCTCCCACCTCGTGCATGTCCCGGAGCAGCATGTGAGCGTACACGAGTTGGTTCCAGGTGTCGGGCACGCCCGGCAGGCACCAGTGCAGGCAGTCCTGGTGGGCGGCGTCCAGCAGGTACCCCCACTGGGACGGGTGTGCGTCGGGGCGGAACGACGACAGGTGCGACGTGTTGAGCAGGTGCAGGGACGGCAGCCCCGCCACCGCCTGCTCTGCTGCCGGGTCGCGTGATGAGTTGAGCGGCAGCACGGCTGCCAGGGATAGGGGTTCCTGCAGAAACAAGGGGGAGCATGTTGGGAGTAAGAAATGAGTCCACGAATAGTTGATGGTAATCATGAGGGACTAGCCAAGTGAGGAAGGGCAGGAGGGCATAAGGGCACCAGCCCAGCATGAGGGGAGGGCAGGGAAAGGAGGGTGTGTCTCACTCACACGTTTGTGGTCGCAGTGGCCGCGGGTGTTCCACTCGCCGTCAAAGAAGTGCCGCGCCGATGCCGTGCGCAGCAGCAGCAATGGCGCCCTCCCCCCCCTCCGCACCCCCTTGCTGCTGCCACCGCCCTCCTCTGCTGCACCTGCCCCACCCTCCCCACCGACGACTTCCCCTCCTCCTCCCTCGCCCCCTTGTGCCTCCTGTGCCTGCCCTGTAGCACCCTCGCCCTCTTCCCTCCCCATGGCTGCCACGTGGCGGTGCAGCCAGGCCATGGTGGAGCGCAGGGCGATGCGTTGCAGCGCGTGCATGATGCCGCTGCTGCCCTCTATGCGCACCCTGCTGCCCTCTATGCGCACCCTGCTGCCCCCAGTGGCCGCCTCACTGCTCTCGCCCTCACTGCTGCTGCTGCTGCTGCTGCTGCTGCTGCTGCTGCTGCTGCTGCTGCTGCTGCTGCTGCTGCTGCTGCTGCTGCTGCTGCTGCTGCTGCTGCTGCTGCTGCTGCTGCTGCTGCTGCTGCTGCTGCTGCTGCTGCTGTTGTCTGTGTGGTGTGCGTGTGGCAGCGGTGGCGCATTGACACGCACGTCAAGGAGCAGCTGAGGGTCATCGATGTTCACGGGCTGCCCTGCTATGTGCACGTCCCACTTGCTCTCGCGCACCTTGCCCCTGGTGTGGTGTGCCATGGCGTGTGCAGGGGTTGCAGGGGGGATTGAGCTTCGTGTGATGCTGCCGTGGCATGCCATGTGTTCATCAACGGGCAAAGTATCATGCGCAACTCCCATTCCTCGCCTCTCACGCCACACCCACCCACCTGCTCCAGTGGTGAGCACTGTTCATGACGACCACGTCCAGCCGCCCCAGGTGCGTCTGCAGGAAGTCGTCGGTCTGGTCCACGTGCATGGCCGCCCCGCCCTCCAGCTTGTCACTCTCGTTGTAGTACGCTATCTGAGGGGGGCGGAGGGGGCAGAGGGCAGGGGGCAGGAGGCAGGAGGGCAGGGAGCAGGAGGGCAGGGGTACAACAGGGATGAGCGAGCAGGGGAGCGGAGTGGAGTGGGCAAGCAGAGTATGGGGCACACAGCAACAGAGCAGCATGGGAAGTGCAGGGGGTGGGGCGGACCACTGCCACGTCATGCACACCCTGGACCAGGACGGGTGGATGGACTGACACCAACACAAGCCCCTCTCCGTGCCCTCAAGCGTGCGTCCCACCTTGCAGAGGCAGGAGGACCAGGAGAAGAGGATGGTGGTGTTGGTGGCGGGGAAGCGCACGGCATAGCCGGTGGGGCGCATGCGCTTGTACTTGCTCCTCACCGCCAGGTTCACAAACCCCCACTCGCCCGCCACGTCCTCCGTGGCCCCTGGCGCAGCAGAGGCGAGCAGGCAGAGCAGCGACTGGAACTGCTGCTGCGCGAGAGAGTCCCCCACCAAGGCCAGCGCGCGGTGGCGCAGGCGGTCAAGGAAGTCAAGCGGGTCAAAGGGCGGCACGTCGCAGTGCGAGGGGCGCCAGAGCAGCGCCTCGTGGTGGAAGGAGGGGCGGTCAGCGGCCCTGCGGCACGCCCACTGCGGGCTCAGCCACGAGCAGTTGGCCCCTGAGTAGAGCGGTGGGCGCGTGGTGGGTACCCATGTGCCCTGTGACAGGTCGCATCCAGGGTGCAGCGCTGAGGGGGAGATAAGGGGAGGGGAGGGGCAGTGGTGGGATGGGGAGATGTGAGGGTGATGGGGGAGAGGCGGAGGTTGGATTGGGGTACAGCAGAGCTGCCTTTCCATTCGGGCCGCACAAGCCAAGGTGGGGGAGAGGGTGGCACAACACAGAGGCGCAGGGGGGCAGAGGGGCAGGGAAGCAGGGGGACCGAGGGGCAGGGGGTCCGAGGGCAGGGGGGCAGGGGAGGAGGGGGGCACACCTCGTGATGGTGCTGAGGGGTTCGGCACTGCACGACGTGTAGCGCTGGCTGCCGGAGCTGCTGCACTCGCCCCCTCCTGCTGCTCACTTCGCATCGCCTTCAGTCACGTTGCCTTCATTCACATCGCGTTGAGTCACATTGCCTTGAGTCACATTGCCTTGAGTGACTTGTGCTCGAGTCGAGTTTGCTACAGTCACATTGTCTCGGGTGGTGGTGTCTGCTGCTGCCCGCCCTGCACTCTCATCCTGACTGCTCCTCTCGTCTCTCCTACCCCGCCCGCCTCTCCCCTCGCCTCTCCTTGCTCCTCTTTGATTTGCTCTCCTCATCTCCCTCGCTGCCCTCCTGACCTCCTGCCTCCCTGAATCGCATTTTATCTCTCCCACCACTGCTGCCCTGCCTGCTTCCCTCCGCGTCCTCTTCTGGCATAACGCCCTTTTCTCTTTCCAACATCCCCTCGCTACCACTCGCACCCTCCCCTCCGCCCACACCCTCCCCTCCGCCCACTCCCTCCCCTCCGCCCACACCCTCCTTTCCGCCCACACCCTCTCCTCCGCCCACACCCTCCTTTCCGCCCTCGCCCTCCTTTCCGCCCACCACCCCATCCGCCTCCCCTCTTGCGCCAGCGTCCCCCTCCTTATCCCTGCGCCTCGTCTCCTCCGCTTCTAGCCTCTCCGCGCCATCCTCCTCACCGCTGGCCCCATCCTCCTCACCACCCTCCATCGCACTCGCTACCAGCCGATCACCCGCCCTCCCATTCTGCGCCAGCAGGTCAGATCTCACTGTGTCGTCTGGGGGCCTGTCGCCTGTGTCGCCGGTGGTCGCAAGCAGGTCGCTCAGCGGCGGCAGCGGCGACCGCGAGAGCAGCAGCGAGCCGCCAGCGAGCAGCGCGGCGAGGAGGGCGACGAGGGCGACGAACGCGGTGCGAGCGGGAAGGCGGTGTGGCGGCCAGCGGGATTGCGAGGATGGCAGGCGGGCGGGGACGGACGGCGGGGATGGGCGGATCGTAGGCGACGCGTGCGCGCGATTCCACCGCCCTTCTTCCACCTCTCGCGACACGTGGCCTTCGAGCGACAGAAGTTCGTCATCTATCGCTGTTCGTAGCGACGCCGTCGAGTCGTCGGCGCGCACTGACGCGGTGGAGTCGAGCGGAGATGATAGGCGGAAGGGCAGCAGCGGTTGGTCGAGAGGCACGACGGCGTGTGTCGTTGGTGACCGCTGCTGGAGACGCCCGCTGCTGGCGGTGGCTCTGAGAGGCGACGCCATGGCGCGTGTGCATTCGCAGCCGCGATCTGTAGTCGCAGCGCGTGTGCACTAGATGTAAATTGCCAGCGGATACTGTGGTCGCAGAGTGCGTGCGAGCGAGGCGAAAGGCTGAGAGGCTCGCGCGGTCAGAAGGAGAATTTGGCGGCGAGATTCGTTGTATTGCCGTGAGCTGTGGAGGAGTGGCGGAGGGAATGCACTTGGGTAAGTACGGTCAAGTAGGATGCTGTAAATTGTAAGGTTTCAGCTGTTTTAACCGCTTTGAACCGGCCCGACACTCTGTATAAACCGGATCTAGTTTCAGTGGCTGGAGTTTCGGCGAGCTGTTTCGCTTTCCTGGGGTGCTGCGGGCGGCCATGTCGGCCAATCGACGGCTTAGGTTTAGCCCGCACTGTGTTGTGTGGCCGAACCGCGATCCAGGTGTGATCCAACTTGTTGTTCTGACAACTTCAAGATTTGCCTGGTAACCCGCGGTCCTGACCTATGTCAGCAGGTTGTACATTTACAGTTCATGCTTCGTGGCTCAGAACGGTGAAAAGCGGTTATCGAGTATTACCGTTTCCCGCCGTGACGCAACAAATCCAACCACAGAGAATGTACAAGAGACATATGACCCGCCTACGGCGAACCCCGGGTTAGGCCCGTAAAGCACACCAATATTTCGCGTCATCGTTACATCCTTCGCTCGAATTGAACTGTAATGTTGTTACCGTATTACCCCGGATATAGGCGCATATGCGCTTAAAAATAAATTCATTTTTTTGAGGGGGGGCGCTTGTAATTGAGTAACGGCCATAAGCGCCGGCGCTTATATAATGACAAATACGAAATTATATATTTAGATCACCAAATTGTTCATTTTCTTCTTGCCATTTCAACCGAGTCGAAATGCTTTAGCGTCACAAAACAAAATCTCGCGCAAGCGATATTCTGGGTGCACACACAGGCAAAGACACGTCATGCTAGCAGATCCTGACTAGATGTGCAGCCAGTCAGGTCTTCGCGAGTCAAACCAAGCGAAATCGGAATCTGACTCGCTGCAAAAAATTAATTTCGTTACCGTTTTAAAGCAAGAATTTAAACTAGAATTGCACGTGCGCTTATAATAAGTAAACGTTTTCTAGGGGGGGGGCGCTTATAATCAAGGAACGACCATAAGCGCCATGCTCCAGATAGAGGCGCCGGCGCCTTTAATATCGGACGGCGCCTATATCCGGGGCCATACGGTATGAGTTGTATAGAGTGTGCAGGTTAACGAATAACGAAGAAGTTATTGAACAGACTGATCATACAATGAAGGCACACGCTAATATAGTGACTAGTCTAGCTAGGAGGGAACTTCGGGTGAGTGAAGTTGGGTGCAGATTTGGCGAGAGGAAATGCCGAAGGCGACGCGAGGAGGCTCAGCATTGTTGATGTCGGCCAAACGTGCAGAGTTCGAAAATCGGGGCTGTACGCGAAGCAGTCAACCCCGATAAGGAATTCGGGAAAATTCCTTACACTACCCCCCCCCCCCCCCCCCCCCCCCCCTCCCCGGTCAATATCCGTAGCTCGCTTGCGGGCTAGATAATCCACAATAAGCGGAGAGTCTGCAAGCGACGCGGAGGACACCCACGTGTCGTCTTCACTGGTGCGGTCAGTCCAACGGATTAAAATATCCACGTGGCGTCCAGCGGCGTCCAGTCGTACACGATGCGCCAAGACCTTGGACGGGTCAAGTGTCGGTTCTAGTACCGAGCGTGCCGTTGGTGCAGCCTGTTGACGTGCGATGTCAGTCGTGGCTGGCACGAATTTGCGAAGTAAGCTGACGTGGAAAGCGTCATGGATACGCCAGTCGTCGAGTAGTAGCAGCTTCGCGGTGACAGGTGTCACCATCGTGATGATCTTGAAAGGCCCACAAAATCGTGGCCGTAATTTCGATGGGCCGGGCAGTCGTAGATTCTTCGTGTCGAGTAGGACTAGTTGTCCAGCTGCCAGAACGAGTTCTCGTCGTAAAAGGTCGGTGTATTTGCGGGAAGTGGTATTCGCCTTGCGAATTGCGTGCGCAGCTTTTCTTCTCGAACTTCCTGGAGCTCCGTCACGAATGTTTGTGACCGCGGTGTCAGAATATTATGCTCTAGCCTGTAGTGGGGTGCTCTATAGCGAGTACAACTCTTCTAGGGTTTTGCTATTTGTATCCCCATTCTTGCTAGTGCAACCCTCTTCTTTCTTCTAAACTTTCTCATGCTATCAGAGCGAGTTACGTCCTGGCCTGTGGGCCCGCCTCATGCTTCCGCTGCTACGTTTCCTCCGGTCGCGCGCCTAGGGCGCGTGGCGATTTTCTATTGTCCCGCCCCCGGTTGGCGAGTGACTCCTACTCTGCCTGTCGCGCGCGCCCGTGGCACGCGACGGTGCCCTAAACCTGCCCGTCGTGCGCCCCGTGGCACGCGACGGTGCCCTGCTCGTCGTGCGCCCCGAGGCACACGACGGTGCCCTTACCTTAAACTTACCTGTCGTGCGCCCCGTGGCACGCGACGCGCCTCTCCGCACCTGCTCTCACTGCAGCCGCCCCTGACCTACCTGCGCCGACACATTGTAGCCGCTCTGCGGCTTTCTTCCCGCCCACCCCCCTCCTCCTTTGTCTCCCTGCAAAGCCGTGGGGGGGAGGGTATGGGGGTGGCGGGTGTTGGAGCGTCGGGTCGTATCCTTCCTTCCCCTCCTCCTCCTTTCCGTTCCCACTGCTGCAGCTGCCGCTGGGGGGGAGGGTGTGAGGGTGTGGGGGAGACGGGGGAGTGGCACCCGGGGTGGCGGGTGTGAGGCAACCAGCAGCCGTCCCTCCACCTCTCCTCTCGTCCCCCCCCTCTCTGCTGCTCCTGCAGCAGTGTGGGGGAAGGGAAGGAGGAGGGTGAGGAGATGGAGGGGGGTGACCAGCTAGTGTTAGCCCGCCTGCAGTACCATGCTGTTGCTTGTTTATTATTTTGCATGTGTACCCCTGCAGGTTGTATTCTGCACAAACTCCTGATGCAGGCAGTTATGGGGGAGTGTCAGAACTTATATTTGTAACGGCCTGTAGCTGTAGTTAGTGTAGTTATTATAAACTTTGTTTGGTGGTGCACCTTATTTGTTTCCTTTGCTATATGTTCTTCGAAACCTATAGTGAAACCATCCTTTCCAACTTTCTCGACTCTCACCCTAGGCACAAACTACTCGACATCCTAGTTGGGCCTAGGCTCCTAAGCCTAGGCCCTAGTTAAACTTGATCTTCTTCCTACTATTTTTTCTCACGCGGGACCGGGTTGTCGAGTGTAGTCATTGTAGGCACCATCGGGTCCATCCCGTATTTAAAAAGAACGGGGAGTGATTAGTCATGCTGGACGGGGCATTGTTGAAGGCAAACTCCAACATGGCGAGCGAGTTTTCCCAGCGAGCAGGGTCGGGGCAGTTCGTCCTTATCAGCAGCTCCATAGTCTTGTCAAACATACATATATATATATATATATGTTATATGTTTGGGTAGGCTTAGTGGGGTACTCACTGTGGGGTACAACCCCTTAGGTTTCTCCTTTGTACCAACTCTCTCAACAGTCAATTTCACTCATGCCTATACTCTAAGATGGTATCTAGAGCCTAGAGGCCTTTAGGACCTAAGATTAGGGCCCACCCGTTACCACATTACCTCATTTCTTGCCTGCCTTGCCTGCTGCCCGCGCGCGAAGCCTCGGCTGCACGCGCGCGGCCCTCCCATTTTTTTCTTGTTTTCCCGCGCGCAGTCACTTAAGCAGCCCGCGCGCGTCACTTAAGCAGCCCGCGCGCAGCCCGTTAGGCTCGTTTATGAGAAGAAACGAGGAATGGATTGACTAAGGGAAAGTTGGGGTACAAATGCAAACCCTAGAAAAACTGTACCCCATATGTGCTACCACCCACTATAGCCTACAGTAGCTATGTCATATAAATCTGACACACCCCCCAGAGGCAAAGTGGGGGAGAACAAGGGGTCACAAGACCAGTCAAGCAAAGCAAAGCAAGCTCAGGGTGGATCACAAAGTCACCACACATTCCGAGCACAAGTTCAAGGCCACAAGGCCAGTTCACATGCAGGATTACATATACATATAAGGCTAGACAAGCAAGAGCAGGAGTATATATATATGCATCAGTACAAACAAGGTCAAGGGGTGAGCAAGTGAGGCAAGGTGGGCACAAGACCCAGCTGAGTACAGAAGCGCTGATGATCACAAGGCGCAAGTGCCTTGGTGAAGATATCAGCAGTGTTGGCCTGAGAGGCCACGTACGCAAGCCGCAGCTGACCACGGCTGCTGTAGCTCACGAGCAAGGAAGTAGCGGAGAGCAATGTGCTTCGTTCTGTGCTACAGTCTCTGCTCTCGACACAAGGCCAGCATGGCCTTGTTGTCTACGTACAGCACTGGAGGAGAACGAGGCGGCTCTCCGAGGTCAGTCAGCAGGTAGGTGAGCCAGCGAAGCTCCTGTGCAGCCATGGCCCCGGCGTAGATCTCAGCCTCACAACTGGAGCCGAGAACAGAAGACGAGCGGGTAGCCCGCCACGAAACAGAGCCGGAACCAAGGCTGAAAGGTGTAACCCTGTGACGACCGCTGCGTAGCCTGGTCGTCAGCCCAAGAAGCGTCTGCGTGCCCAGTGAGGACCACTGGACTCTGCCCTCCAAGCACAAGCCCCATGCCCAGACGTACTGCACAAGTAACGCAACACCCTCTTCGCTGCAGCCATGTGCTCCGGTCTGTGTCTCCCAGGAGCAACATAGCGTGCGAGATGCTAAGAGGGTATGCGAGGTCAGGTCGTGTGCAGGTCATCAGGTACATGAGGCAGCCAACAGCTCTGGGGTACGGGCCACTCGACTCTACGGACTCATCCGAAGGCAGAGCTGAGAGCGAGTGGTGAGTAGGCAGAGGAGTGGCCTGAGGCGAGGAGTACGTGAAGCCGAAGCGCTGAAGGACCTGCTGCACCATGTGTGACTGAGTCAGGGTAATGGTGCGGCGTGCTCTGTCCC